TAACGCCACAGTTAACGATTATTTTGTTATACTTGGCAAAAAAATTGGATTAATTGATATGAATATGACTATCTTAACGTCAATAACCCTTTTCACATCAAGGCTATAACGATAATCAAAATCCATAACAACAAAAAACTCAAAACAGAGACAGAGTACGAGATAAGAAATAACAATTATTGTGTTCATAAATAATACATCTTCAAATGGTAAAAAATACATACATGCAAATCGCAACTTTTTGTCAATCATCAATTATTCATAGATATAACATCAATGATAAAATTATAGACGCTTTGAATGACAATCAAGAACGCCTAATGATATATAACAAAAACATTATCGTGGCAATAAAATCTAAAGACAAAATCGAATAAACGACACGAATTTCAATAGCTTGCTCAAAATTCAAATGGTGTATGCATATGAAATTATAATCATTTCATTATGATTTAATTGTCGATAAATTAAATAATTTGACAAGCTCATTACAATTATCGATTACATTAGATAAAAATCTAATGATTAAGCTATGACGAAAACAAGATTATTTGATGCGTCCAGTGAATCAAGAAAAACGAAGTATTCAAGATATATTCATTGAATATAAGTCCTCCTGAATAATAAAATTATAGTAAGACATGGATGATAAATCAAGAATACGCTCCACCATGCAAAGTTATGTAGACAGATAGTGCTGAAATCGCCGTTTTATTGTAACAAATAATGTAACCAAAGATAGTATATGAGTATATAAAAACGTTATATCCTTATGGCAGGACTGAGTTTTTCCTCAGTTTATTCCTTGATGAGCAAGTTTTTTTTATGTTCTGGTTCCCGCACGAAAAGGGATGTTCAGAGAACATCGTGAGAACCAAGGGAAATAAGGTAGGAATTGGTGTTCTTCATGAATTTCTGGAGGTTATATGCCTCGGGGAACACCTCCCTTGGCAATGTGTTCCAGAGCCTCACACAGTTCGTTGGATAAACGAGTCTTGACCTAACTCCCACACTAGTGCGGGAAAAACATTTATATAATATTCTCGCAAAATATAAGTGATGGGTGACACAATATGAAATTTTTAAGTTTTTATGTTGCAGTATTTAGTATGTTTGTACAAAATCATCCATGAAATTGCACTATTTATAGTGAAAATGAAGCAATATTGAAAAATAATAATTGATTGTTATATAAATCCCACTATTTTAATTGATCCGATGTCGGAAAAAATTGTTGTCATGTCAATCAAAACACGCACAAATTAGTTAGTGTAATTCTCAGTGGAATTGCGATGAAAAACTCCCAGCTGCAGATGCGATACAGATGAGTTATTGCTAACGAAGTCTTAAGAAAAGTATGAGAAGCACTAGACGGGACTTATTGAATGGTACAATAGTGAGAAAGTGAAAACACCAAATGAAGAAGTATTTTTGGCTCATTTTCAAGAAATGTCTGAAACCTAGAGGCCAAGCACCATGGGCATTGTGGCTTCCGCAATAAGCTTACTTACATATAATAAGTTGTTCCTATTTGCAGGAATAGTTGATTGAACAAATCAATCAATTTTCTACGCTTGTAGAGAAAATATTGTTCCCAATGGGCGTGTACACCTTGGTAGAACTTTCAACTCAAACCATGTTTATAATGATCCTTTTATACATAAATAATGATTGACGACATGATTAGATCGAAAAATTTACTGGAGTGTTCAATTTTTGGACATAAATAATAGTACCATCTGAAAACGGACCCTCTTATGACGTAGAAACCTCATCTCGCCATAGTTAAAAGAAAATACCAAACGCCAGACGGAGACTGAGGCAACTGATATATTAATTCTTTCAACTGTGATCTCGCACTAATTCACTCTGTCAGAAATCATGTATCATTCAACTCTGTCAGGTATAGTCTTGTTTCAGTATTAGGGTTTTGACATCACATCATCGTCTCGTTTTCAGAGGTCCGAAAAATCGGGGATTTCAATAATTTTTTATAAAACATAGGGAGCTCACAGCAAGAAACGGTTTGCGGTGGTGAGCTAGTTTGGGCGAGTTCTATCGAATTAAAAAATGAAAATGTTTTGTGATATAAGCCCATTGTCAATGAGAACTGAGAAGTGTCAAGACTAATACGAATTTGCCATATAACAAATACATTTTTTATGTTGAAAACGGGAGCAGATTCGTTCCCGAAACGTCCTAAGATAAGTAAAAATTCGATCTTTTCTCTATATACTTAGCACCCAACGAAAACTACCCATTCCTCAATTCTTCAGTCACCTCATCAAACATTGATGTGTAAATGTATTCTACAATGCACTCACTGTATATTTCTATCTCTGTTAATAGGTACTGACAATCAGTGCTATGTATCACGGCATAATTTGATGTTATTAAATTATCCAGCAGTGTATTGTGTCTATGGTTACAATTGTCACGTACAATTTGTTAAACATTATAATGACGATAATAAGAATAAAACACTAAGGAGGATCTTTTGTTTCAAACAAATTCGCTTTTTTAAGTTTCATTGATTTCCATTCGAGACAATTCATTGCGTAGGAATTATTGTCATGTCACTGTATGAAATTGAAATATGATTTATCCAGTATCACATTCAACGAAGTGAACTGTATATTAACATACATTGTAATGTAAGATATGGTGCTTGCATTCATTTTTTTCTTCGTACGTACCTACTCTTATTCATCGAATTTCAGTGACTGCTTCTACAATACGTCACTTTTTAAGGCTGGAATTTTTTCTCGGATTTTTCATCTCTTCTTGCTCCAAAGGTTCTCCAAGTGCTATATTTTAATTCTGATGAGGAATAGGAATCTTTCATGATGGCACCTCGACGCCATTTTGAAGGATATTTTCAAATGCAATAGAAGGTCCTGACTTCTTTTAATTATCTATACGAAGTCACCATCTGACATGGTAGTCAACGATATCTCATTTCAAATGTATTTCAATTATTTCATGCTCAGCAAAATTGGGAGAATACCTTTCCAAAATCAAGAACAATAATTATGATTTGTCCGTGACGGGAACAAACTTAGACGCATTTTATCTCTATTGACAGGTTACAAAATGCTACTTTTCATTGATTACTTTTATCCCGAAGGAAAAAAAATCGAATTAGAAACAGCTTTCGCGATCATCGATCATCTGACATGATTTTCCCACGAAAGAGTATTGCTGATGGAAATACCGAGTATACAGGGTTAGCCAAAAATGTGTACCGGGCTGTCTGGAGGTGATTGTACATTGAAAATATGGTAGTATATTTCGATGAATGAACTTGTAACCTAAAAGGGAGATTGATCCTTCCAAAGTAGATGAAATTGAAATAATTTTCCCGCATAACTTCTAAACAGTAGAAGCCACCAGATTGGACTTTCCTGCATAAATTTAAATAATTAATAATAAAATTCATCTTCCTCATATACACTTCTACATTTCTGATATTGTTATAAAGGGGGTTTTCAGAGGTTGGGTCATGATTTTTTGATAACTTTTTTTTTTGTATAATTTTTGATGAAAAGAAAAGCATTTGAAAAAACGAAAAATAGTTATTTATTATACAAGGGAAAAAAGTAGTAGATTTTAGCTCCAGGTTGTGTAGACAAAAAACCGTGATGAGCTAAAATCTGATATTTTTCCCGTGTATAATACACTATTTTTTTCTGTGAACGAAAGAAAGACGAATCAATATATTGGGAAGATAATACATTATTTTGAAATCTGAAAATTATCGACGTGAAATTTAAAATTTTTAACATTAGGGACACTTGCGTTGTAGGCATCTTCATCATTATTTTGAAGTAATCAAATATCTGATGTCACTTTTGTCAGTCTAATTCTGTGATTTGATTTGAAAACATTGCGAATTTAGTGGTTGTTTAGTAATATACGTAACCGCGAAGTCGAATGGAAGATAATAGGACTTCACAGAAAAAAATTATAAAAAATCGGTACTCTTCTGAAAATTCAAAAATTGTATCCGTTCTCGAGAAATTCGAGTTTTTGTAGTCACATGATATGTTTAGATCAATGGGCTTATATCACAAAATAATTTTATTTCATAATTCGATAGAAATCACCGAAACTAGCTCACCACCGCAAACCGTTTCTTGCTGAGAGCTCCCTACGTTTTATAAAAAATTATTGAAATCCCAAGACTATTCCAGACAGAGATGAATGATACATGATTTCTGACAGAGTGAATTAGCGCGAGATCACAGTTGAAAGAAATAATTTATCAGTTGCCTCAGTCTCCGTCGGGCGTTTGGTATTTTCTTTTAACTATGGCGAGATGAGGTTTCTACGTCATAAGAGGGTCCGTTTTCAGAAGGTACTATTATTTATGTCCGAAAATAAAACATTCCAGTTAATTTTTCTATCGAATTATGTCGTCAATCATTATTTATGTATAAAAGGATCATTATAAACATGGTTTGAGTTACAAGTTCTACTAAGGTGTACACGCCCATTATCATTTCAATATTGAATCGTCGTTTTTCTCGTCCCTGAATAAAATAGTGTATTATACACGGAAAAATGTTTAGTATGAAAATACGATCTGACTGGTCTATCAACTACAATCGGAATATGAGAAAAATTGTATTTCGACTCACTTACGTAACAAGACAAATTCTTCATTATGAATAATTTGACGATATCCAGAATAATTTCAGATTAATTTATCAAACATCATAAATAAAAATAAGTCCCACTTGAGATCGATCAAAGATTAGAATCATGCAATGAGACTTATCTAAACCACAGCAAACCGCGTTTTTTTTTCTCAATCGGCAATTAGGTAGCTGTCATTTGTTTTGGGAGAGGTATGCGATCAGAGAGAGAATTTCAGCTAATTCAGTTGGCTGTGACTTTTATCAGAGGGGCGCTCTGCCAATATTAGTACAGAGGGACCACAGCCAGAGGCCACAGTCGCTAATATACAGTGTGTTTGGCAAGGTCAGGGCAATAGCGAAATGATAACGCGGTGTACGGTGATTGTGCTCATTGCAACAGGTTAGTAATCATTTATATTATGCATAATTGATGGGCTCCAGATTCATTTCCCTACTCAATTTTCATTCTCATATACGAACAGTTTTCGTTTGAATTCAAAACATGAACAAATTCTGTATGTATAGATCAAAGAAGGCGGTGAAACATCAATTTGACTCGATTTTTCGAAATTTTCTGTGCTTATTTCTTTAAATAAAAATATGAGTGTCATTTCAGAAATCATCTGTTTTTGAAAACATAAAAACAAATTCAATGACTCATCAGACATGAGACACAAATATGTTTCATAAGAGATTGAAGTGCAGACATATACATATTATTAGTTGAAACATCGACAGTGGGGTAACACCAAAGGCACATAATGCTTATTTTCAAATATCAATATTACATCATCGAGTATAATCATACCTATGAAGACATCCATTTCGTTTCTTGGTATTACTATCAGCAATAACCTTTCCTGGGAAAATCACGTGAGATCAATTACTAAAAGTGCATCCCAAAAACTTGGTTTTCTGTTTCGAGGCAGGAGCAATTTCACTCTCAGTCAGCTGCTTATAATCTCTAAGGCACAGATCCGACCTGTCCTGGAATACTGTTCCCATATTTGGAGTGCAGCACCCAAACATACTCTGAAACTGTTGGATTCTGTCCAAAAGAGGGCAATTCGTCTCGTAGGTGATGCCTCACTCACAAACTCACTCACTTCTCTGGAACACCGTAGACAAGTTGGCGATCTGGCCCTATTTTATAGATATTTTCATGGAAGATGCTCTTCTGAAATATCAACAATCATTCCTCCATTGGCAGTCCCCGCGAGATTAATCCGTCGAGTTGAGGCTTCGCACCCCTTTGTGGTCACTATGGAGACCTGCAGAACATATCTTGCCAAAGACTCGTTTATCCAATGAACAGCGAGGCTCTGGAACTCATTTCCAAGGGAGGTGTTTCCCGAGGCATATAACCTCCAGAAATTCAAGAAGAACATTCCTACCTTATTTCCCTTGGTTCTGACGATGTTCTCTGAACATTACAGGATATCCCTTCTCGTGGGAACCAGAACATGAAAAAAATCCATGAAATGAATATTGGGATTTGAAGCTTCAATAATGAACACGTGGAATGTCTTCTCGTCTTTGGGCAAATCGAATAAATAGTATAACCATATCATTCTTAGAATTCTTGCAATTCTTTATACCTATCAGGATATAATCGAGAACATCATTTTCGCTGGGACAACTATTCACCTTTCAGAACTGACGTTTTAAATCTGAGAATGATACAATACGGACATGTGAGTGGTAACAAGCATGTCCGCACTCTTTAACCCTCTCATGCATAATAATATTCCATGTTTCATCAAAAACTATTTATGGTTGGCAATATTAGACATATTATTTCGACCTCAATTTTGACACATCTCTGATGTAATCACCTTATGGGAATACAATCAGGGGTCATTGTATTTATGTTGAATCATATTTGCACTAATTTAAAATGGTTGCTGAAGACTTAAATGTTGTTCCTGTCGGAACATTATTTTATTGAGGCGCTAGAAAAAATTTGATAAAGCGACATCTTGATTATTGTAACCTATAATTAGCAGTGTATATAGATATATAATAACGAAATATCTCACTGTGCCTCAGTTACAATCGGAAAAACTATAATATGTCCAACCCAGTGGACGCCATACATTTCATGAACTGATTATTTTACTTTTCGTTTCCACACTGTTATTTTTGATGGAGTTGTTGGTTTTTCACATGAATATCAAACAATTTCGAAATCCTGGAGGATTCCGAAACTATAATTGTTTTGTATTTCTTTCCAGAAACTAAGTCCGGTCCTGAATTTTTTTATTGGATGATACCTTTTCTCAACTCTCTGCTGCTATATCAATATGCAAAAAAAAAATTGAATACTTCTGGTCGAATGCCATTTAAAAAAAAAGTTGACAGGTGCTGACGTTACCGTTGGAATTAGAAAAATGCATAAGTGCCAATTTTCAACATCTGTTTTGTTCTCAATTCCATAAAATCTCCAAAAGTTGAGAAAAAATTCCAACACCCACCTCTTGTAATTGTGGGCGGTGCCTTGTCAGTTCTCAGCATTCTGCACATTGTTGCCAAGTCTTCAACATCAACATGATATTTTGTTATCGAGTATAAGAGATATTTAGACTTTTATATTATGGCTTCCTTATATAATGTTTTATCTCCTGTTTTATTCAATGACAGGATTCTAATCTTTTTGATAAATTGATTATAATGAATTGATGACTTGATAACCTTGCTTCATGAGTGGAAATGGAAGTTTATCTGACCAACGAAACAGCATAAAAACTGACGTTACCATTTATTCGAAGTATCGCCAAATGGCGGAGGGCGACAAAAAATCGTGAGCTGAAATCTAATACTTTTCCCGTGTATAAAACACTATTTTTTTCTGTGACAGAAGAAAGGACGAATCAATATTGAGAAGATATCACATTATTTCAAAATCTGAAAATTACCGACGTGAAATTTTAGGATTTTAACAGTAGGGACACCTGCGTTGTAGGCATCTTTATCATTCTTTTAAAGTTATCAAATATCTGATGTCACTTCTGTCAGTCTAATTCTGTGATTTGATTTCAAAAAATTGCGAATTTAGTGGTTGTTTAGTAATGTACATAACCGCGAAGTCGAATGGAAGATAAAAGGACTTGCAGTTCTTTCTCGGAAACGGTATTATTGGCTTATTTTTCAGAACTATAGCACAACAAAAGCCATCAACAGTGTAAAAGTATTCTTTATTGGGGAATTAACAGAATTTACAAGGATGTCCGGTTTTTGTTGTCACCCGGTATATCTGGAGCAGTAGCTGTATGAAGATTTGTCAACAATTATTTCCTTGGTAAAAGTAGAACAATGTGATTCATTTTTTTCGTTTCTAGGTTTACAAGCACAAAGTTGGAGGTCCCCATTCTTATTCATCACCTACCTACCAATATAAAATACTCACATGCTCAACTTGATTTATATATTATCGTTCCACAGAAAACAAGACTTGTTGAATTATTTTTCTTTATGATCCCTTCGGTAGGTTTCATAACCTTGTTCTAAAAATTGATGATATGTGTGATACGTTTTTTGAAGTAAATATATGCAATGAGCGAATGATCTAACGCTCCATTGCCAAATTTATTTCTGTGAGAGCCAAGTAAAACAAAACAATAATTAATCTACATTTCAGTAAATTAGAATAAATTTCTAGCAATCGTATTTTTAATTTCAACATCCTTCCAGCTATATCCAATCATGGATTGTTGACTGAAAAATATCTCTAAAATTTTCCGAATAACAGCTTTTTTTGCTGAATACTTGCAGATTACCAACTTTCTTTATTTATCGAGAAACAATTTTTTAATGAAATGAACTGATACAAAAATTTAAAAAAACATTTTTATTAAACACAAAATTATGAATTGGGATGACTGCTTAATACCGTGTATTGCCTCCTCTAGCAACTCTAAGAACTTCTAATCTACGAGGCATACTGAAAATTAAGTTGCTTATCGTTTCCATTGGTATACGATCCCATTCTTCCACTAATGCATCTGCCATTTCTGCGAGACTTTCCGGAGACCTCTCGCGAGAACGTATCCTTCTCCCTAATTCATCCCACAAATATTCTATAGGATTCATATCGGGGCTTCCCGCAGGCCATTGTGATGTGGTAATACCAGTAGCTTCTAAGTAGTTTCGCACTATTGCTGCGGTGTGTGGTCGGGCATTATCCTGCTTCAATATAAAATTATTGCCCACTAACTCTGCATAAGGTGAGACATACTGCTCTAAAATGTCAATGTAAATTTGGGCATTCATCGACTGCCTCGCCGGAAGAACATGAAGGGGTGTCTTTCCATTCATTGAAATCTCTCCCCACACCATAACGGACCCACCATTAAAACTATCGCATTCTGTTATTGAATTTTGATCAAACCGTTCACCAGTTCTTCTCCACACTTTTTTCTTCCATCCACCATGTTAAGGCAAAACCTTGACTCATCCCTAAACAAGACATTCGACCATTCAGGAATATTCCACTGTCCATAATTTTCAACAAAATTTCTTCTAGCAGCACGATTTTCGGGCAATAATTTGGGACCTTTTGCAGGTCTCCTAGCTTTTGAATTAACTTCTTTTAGACGTCTACATACCGTCTGCTTACTTACTGCAACATCACGAATCTGGCGAAGATCTTGCTGAACATTTACCGCAGTATTTGATCGATTCCGTAAAATCCGCTATCTCAAGAAGCGATCATCTCTTGGAGAAGTTTTTCGGGGGCGACCAGAACCGACCCTCCGAGCGGTGCTTCCTGTTTGTTCGTACTTGCGGATTGCTCTACGAGCAGTTGCTTCATGAACTCACACTGCACGAGCGGCGTATAATAACGTTTACTACGCCCATCGTTCAATAACGCAACTAATCTTGCTACTTGTTCAAGATTTATTCGAGGCATTTTATGTAATTTAGTCAATAAAACAAGACACCCTATTAATGACACAACGACAAATGGTCGAATATGGAGGCATACAACAAAATAGTTGCTATGGCAACGGCATTTGTTTTTTAAAGACAATGTGATCCTACCAGAGTCCAACCCAATCAATTTTGAGTACTCTGATCCTTCAATAAATTTCATTTGTGGGATAAGCGTAAGGTATCAGCTAAAAAGCTGTAATTCGGAAAATTTCAGAGATAAATCAATGAATAAAAAAACAAAATGCTCGCAAAAGAAGCCTCTTTCATATAGGATGCAAGCACTTTGTATACCATTACTATTAACACACAGGGTAAGTCAAAAATTAAGGATAAATCATGGTTCGAGTTATTCCACCACCATCAAGGAGGCTTTGAATAAATTTTCACCTCTTAATTTTTTTTAAAGACAAATGCATTTACCCACCAACAAATAAAAAAAAATCGGCCTGCTATTTTTTTTTTTTTGGA